TGAGAATGTTTTACCTCTTTATGACCTTTTTTAATGTGCCAAAAAGTCGCTAAACGAATACCAAGCCACGTCAATGTGAAACTAATATTTTCAGAGGGAAGAAGTTCAGATGTCAAATGGTTAGCCACTGCCATTATCTTATTTATCGTACAGAAATAAAGAGTCTGGTTCCTTGAGAACTAACCTGTGTACTCGTTTAGCGACACTTCTTTCTGCCCAAAGAATATACAAATACAAGCTTAAATTTGCTCTCTGAGCCTATGCCATGCCTCGGGTTTTCTTTGTTTGTCATTGCTTTTTGGGGAGTGGAGTTGGTTATGTTTTGGGGTTGTTTGGGTTTGGGTTTGGGGGTTGTTGGGGGAGTGGGGCTGGGGGAAGGGGTGTTTTTAATTTTTAATTTTTTTTTTTTTTTATTCTACAGTTCTATACAAAAGTACATTTCTGCTAGAAATGACACTTTCTATTTACTATTGTTTCTTCATGTAAGGCCCCTACAGTTTGCTCCCAATTATCCTACTTCCCCAAAGAGGCTTGATTGGTACTGTGGTGTACTGGTCAGGCTTTTCCCCGTTACATGAACAGGGCATGAGGTCAATTCTCGAGTGGGGACGTGTACAGTTGAACCTACTCTAACGGCCGCCTGTAAAAGACAATTAGGCCCACCTGCATAAACAGCTACTTCTTATTTCTTCCTTTATGTTTTTTTTTTTAAAGATAATAATGACAATGTAATGGACGGTCACTTGTGTAATACGGCCACTTTTCTCCTCGACAATAGGTGGCCGTCTTGGAAAATGTCGACTGTATTTTACTGAATACATCTCCATTTACTTGTATCCCACACAGCCAAAGTGTGCCTATACAGCTACACCGAAACTGCCCCCTCTTCAATAATTGAATTTGCTTCCATGAAGTGTGAAACATTAAAACAAAGTGGCCTTCTTTTCTGACCCATTGATCAGTCTGGGAGATATATATGGGTGTAAAGATAATGGTACAAGCTACGGTAAAGGAGAGCACGTTATGGTCACATTAAGCTTTAAAGCATGCAGATCCGGACAATAGCATCTCTTGGAGGAAGTACGCGCGCACACACACA